TTAAATTTAATGGGGGTTGAATTGGGAGCTTTGGGCATGGCTGGCAGAAGCGACAAGGACAGGACAAGCTCTCAGGCACTATAAATATAGAGTTGGATGGGACCAAATGTGAGGTCAAGTTGGTCCCAAATGAGAGAAGCCAGGGTCTCTGGTTCCCCATGGCTGGGGTGGGGAACGGGGCGGACCTGCTTCCTGTGCCCCACTCACTGCTTCAGGGCAGGAGACGCCAGCTGCCACGGACTCCACATCAGAGTCAAGTTCAGCTCCATGAAAAGTTCCCAGGGCTGGGGCCACAGAACTTCCAGCCCGTGTCAGTGTGGGGACCTTGTGCTGTCCTGATAATAGCTTCCTGGTCATGAATTTTATTATATCATCACTATTGTGGCACTGGGGATCGAACCCTGGGCCTTTCAAATGCTAGGCAAGTACTATACCACTTGAGCCATGCCCCCATCCTCCTGGTTTATGATTTGTTTTTGAGATGGGTCTTTGCCTGGGCTGGCCTCAAACCACCATCCTCCTGCTTCCCCCTCCCGAGTAGCTGGGATTACTGGGGTGTGCCACCACACCCAGCTCCAGTCACATGTTTCAAAACACACACAGCTCAGCTGTGGCCCCTGAGTTCAGAAGATCAGTAGAAAACCTAACATTCGGGGTTTGTCTGTCATTATCACACACCTGGGACATTTCCTCCAGCTTTTGTGTTGCAAACTAGTTCACTTGAGGTCATCCACTTGACATTCAGAACATTTCTTGAGGTGTGGGAGACATGCTAGGTGTTCAGAATACAAAGCTGATTCCGACACAGCAGGGCAGAGGGAAAAAGGGAAAAAACAAAACAAAACGAAACACTTTGAATTATGACTCTGCCACTTACTGGCTGTGTGGCCTTGGGCAAGGAACTAAATAATAATACCTGGAATGAATTTAGAGCACTTGGCACACCGCAGGCTCCAGAAATGGCGGGTGTGTTTTTAACCCCAAGTCATATGTGTTAGTCAGCTTCCTATCATGATGACAAAATACTTTAGCTAATCAACTTATAAGGAGAAAATATTTATTTTTGGCTCATGGTTTCAGTGTATGGTCACTTGGCCCTGTAATTTTGGGCCTGTGGCGACACCGTACATCATGGCGGGAGCGTCTGGTGGAGGAGGCCTGCTCACCTCATGGCAATCAGGAAGGCAATCAGAGAGAGGTAGGAGCCGGGGTCCCAATATTCCCCTCAAGGACATGTCCCCATTGACTTAACTTCCTCCCGATAGGCTCTGCCTCTTAAAGATTCCACCATCTTCCAAGAGCACCACAGGCTGGGACCAGGCTTTTAACACCTGAGACTCTGGGAGATGGTCAAGATACTACTAAAGCAGTGTACCAGGCTGGGTGTGCTAAGTGCTCTAGGAATTCTGGTAGACCGAGGCAGCTCTAGAATTTATTATGATGCCCTGAGGAAACAGACAAGGGAGACAGGGAGAAACACCCATCTGCAGGGCTGGTCCCCTGTTTAGGGACCTGACAACCTTTGCCCTTAGAGGAGAGCACCCATAATGCACCCTGCAGAGTCAACTTCAGGTCCTCAGAGCAGGACAGACACAGCCCCACTGGCCTCTGATCCCACAGAGGGGGCTCTTGGGTCCAAGTGGAAGGAAGCACCGTGGGCTTCTCTGGAGGGGGCATGAGTGTGTGGTGGGGGCCAGGCTTTGCCTCTGAAGCCTGGATTCCATCTCCAGCCTTTCAGTCTTCAGGTGTGCTTGACTTTGGACAAGGTTTAACACCCCCAGATCATCAAGTGTGAGAGGGGGATCCCAACACATTAGAAGTCATTCCTGTAAGGATTTGTCTCAGCACCTAGTTCAACAGACACCACCTGCCGATATTATCATAGGAGCTGTTAAGAAGGGGCTGTGCTCTTGACCTTGGCCAGCCATGATCCCATTTCAAGACTAGCAGAGAACAAACCCCATATCAGCTCTTTTGGGAAAACAGTGCTTTCTATCACCTGCCTCTGCAGAGAACCCTTTGAATATGAAGAACAGCTCTCTCTGTATACAAAGGGAGCCCGTCTGTATCGATTCAAAACACACCACAAACAGATCTAAATTACAGTCAGATCCCAAAAAAGAACTCTGATTCCTTCGGTCGGTGTCAGGACTTATCGAAGCGCTCTGTGTGCAGTCCCCAGGACTGACTTAATGATTGTGCCAAGCCCATGTGCAATTAGCAACACCCGTTTGTGTGCCAACAATTCACCACCCAACAATGACGGTGTTTAATTTACAGAGCAAATTATCCTTAAACACAATTTACGCAGCCAGTCGCTGCAGCAGGTGGCCTGCTTAGGTGGATTGGTGTAGCAAATCCCTTCTTCAAGAGAGCACGAGTGTTATGTGGGCCTAGTTCAGGTGCCAGAGGCTGGGAGGGGACTTGGAGCTATCCTAGGACTAAGCTCCGAGAGCCTGGGGGCAGTGTATATGGCCACTTAGTATGGCATCTTCTTCCTGGACAGTGCCCACACAGCCATGTTCTAACTCTGGAGCCATATTCCACCTGCCAGCATCATGGGCATGTCCTGGAAACAAGTGGTGTCCCCCACATGTGGCATTTCTTCTCTAGCAATGTTCCCCAAGGCTGCTGGGATCCTCTGCACCTGCTTACCTGGGGAGCACATTAAGACACAGGTATTCCTCCTGTTAGGGATGGATATCTTAGAATACCATCCACACACCGTGGCCTTGGGATCGTGCGGTCATCAGACCTGTGCTAGACCTGTGCTGATGAAAGCACATGCCAGAGTTTAGGTGGAAAGTCTGTGGATAGCTGAGTTTTAAGATGGTATTAGTTTCCTTCGTAGTCTACATGCATTATGCTTTTAAAGTTGGGAGACATAGGCTCCACCAGCTTGCCAAAGGGGTCATGACCCCCAAAAGTTCCAGAACAGTTGCCCCACCAACAGCTGAAAGACACTGACCTCACAGGGCTATCTCATGGCTTCAGGGGTCTGAAGGGGATGAAAGGACAATTTCCAAATTCAGCTGCCGGAAGGAAACAGCTACTTAGGGAGACTGGGGATCCCGAGGCTGGCCTTCACTGAGAGGCAGGCTGTGTGCCCAGTGGAGGGGCCAGGGTGCTACTGATTCCTTTGGAAGAGGCACAGCTGGCTTCTGGGTCCTGAATCTTTTCATAGTTCAGGATCTGCTAGCGGAAACTTCAGTACAACTCCCACTTCAACATCACCTAGCGTTTCTGAGATCAACGCCCCAGTTCCTTCAGGAATGAACACACAGCTAAGTCATTTGACAATCAACTGGACCACAAGGAAATATGGATTACTTTTCTCTGGTTGGTCAGACTTAGCACAACCCTGAGTATGGGGGGCTGGATGTAATATGGCAAGGTATTCCTCAAACTTGGGATACCCCAGCCGTCCTTCTTCCTTCCTTCCTTCCTTCCTTCCTTCCTGCCTCATTCATGCTTCCTGAGAAGACTACTAAGTGTCAGACACATCAGTGAGCAAATCAAATGTTTGTACGGTTAGAGAGAAGAGATTCTAGTAGGGATAGAGGCACGGTTAAATAAGTAAAATATGGGAGAGAGGCACGGTTAAATAAGTAAAATATGGAGTGTAAAATAGGAGTGGTGGGGAGTGATTGCTAACAAGTACTGGGACTCTGGCTGGGGAGACGAAAATGTTCCACGATTGACTGCTGTTGTGGCTGAACAACTTGGTAAGTCCATTATTGTACAGAAACAATCGAATTGTATGCACAGGTGAGCTGTGTGTGTACCATATCTCAATACAGCTGTTAATTAAAACACAAAAAAACATACAGGGTATGTCACAGGATTATAACTGCTGGGCACAAAAATAAAGCAGTGAAAGGGACAAGGGTTGCTATGGACTGAATGTTTGTGTCCTTTCCGAATTCATGTTGAGGCCTCAGCCTCCCAGTGCAGTGTGATGGTATAAGAAGGTGCGGTGTATGGCAGATGCTTAGGGGTGGGGCCCTCAGGATGCGATTAGTGGCCTTATAGGTCTCTCTCCCTCTCCCTCTCCCTCTCCCTCCCTCTCTCTCTCTCTCTCTCTCCCTCCCCCTCTCTCACTGAGAAGATAACCATCTATAAGCCAGGAAAGGTCCTCAGCAGGAATGAACCATCCAATACCTTGATCTTGGGCCTCTAGAACAGAAAGAAATAAATGGCTACTGTGGAATTTTATTATAACAGCCTGAGCTGACAATGACAAGACTCCTAGGGGTTATGATTTTACAGTGGTCAGGGAAAGCCTCATTGAGAAGGCAACATTTGGGTGAAATTTGAAGGTTATGAGGGAGCAAGCAGAAGGGAGAGTGGTTTAGGTAGAGGGAACCATAAGTACAAAGGTCCTGAGGTATGCCTACTGGTTCAAGAAACAACAAGGCACCAGAGGGAGAATAAAAGAAAAACATGGAGGAGGAGGAAGTTGGTGCGGAGGGTGCTAGAAGCCACTTTTGAGGACTTTGGCTTTTCTTGTGGACCAGAAGGGAGAGCAGTGCAGGATTCTGAACAGAGGAGAGAGGTGATCTGGTGTATGCTTTAAATAGATCCCAGGTGGAAATCAACAGTGAACAGCCACCATCAACAGAGCGTTTATATCGCCTTGTGCTGTAATGGTGCCAGGCTCCTTTACGGGCATCCGCTCATTACATCATCCCAACTATGCCCTGTTATATTATAACAGTTATTTTATAAAAAGGCTCAGAACAGATGAAGAATTTGACCTTCATTAATGGTCTGAGAAATACACGAGGTGTACCTGGCCCCAGAGCCCTCACCTTCCGCACTGCTATTGGTACTGCCTGGTATACACAGCAGACACTCAATAAAAGTGTCACATGCGTGGCTACAAAGCAGTGCCCTGAGGGCTCAGCACTGGCACTGTGTGGCACGAGGGTTGGCGTGTCATTGTGGGTACAGAGAGGGTATGTCCAAGGCTCCAGCCTGGAGCACTTGTACCCACTTACTCAGCTCTGCGATGCTGCCCACACGGGTGGCCAGGAGAGACTGCTCAATGGTCCTCAGCTCCGACTGGCTGAACATGGGCAGCTCCCCGGGCTTGCTGGGCCGCTGCGGGTCTCTGTGCAGGTTCAGGCTGTCTGGCAGGCACAGCACTCCTGCAGTCAGAAGGGGGAGAAAGAAAGGGGAACAGGGTTAGCCGTCAGTTCAACCAGGGGTGGGTGCAAAATCTCCAAGAAGCCAGTCAGGCTGCAAAGCCATTGTGGGGACCCTGCTGTACTGGACCCTTCTAGATATCATGTCCAGCTTTCTTAAAAGGTCTCCTTAAACACCTGACCCATTAACTTTGACAAACACATAGGCACACATTTTTGTCTGGACACACACATTTCCAAATGACTCCAAACAGGACCCTCCCCTCCTATCTGGCAGGGGTTCTATCTGCTCAGAAACACCTCCTGTGAATGTGGTGGTCACTGCCTCATCCTTCCTCCCCAGGCAGCTGTGGTCCCTAAGTGCCCTGGGGGACAGTCTCTGTGGCAGTGGCTTCTGATAACTTGCTCTATTGGCCCAACAAAAGTCACTCTGGATTACTGGGCTGGGATATGTTAGGTTCCTGGTCTTCTCTGGAGAGCTGCATCAGGAGGTAGAAACATCCCCAGGGGCTTTTGTAATTTGGGGAATAGCCACAGAAATCCATGAAATTCATTATTCTCTTTCCTTTCTTTTTATTCCAAAAACACTCAGCGAGAACCTAAAAACTTACTGGCATAAATTACTCAGAAATATTCATTCTTCTTTCACCACCCTAGGGAAGAGTGGACATCCTAGCTTCTTGACCTCCAGGCCTGACTACTTGACTTTCTGTGGTCAAAGGTATGTCAATGGACATAGTAGAACCAAAGGCATGACAAGTGCTTGGAAAATTGAATTTGTTCTTTTGTGTTCTGCCTTGGTCATGAGCGAAACATGCCATGGCTGGCCCACTGGTCAAGAAGGGCGAGGGACACATGGAACAGATCCAGAAGTGACCTGAAGCTTGGAACTGCCCCAGTTGCCCCACAAAAACAAATGTCTATTTGGTAGACTATTGAGAAAGTGGGGCTGTTTGTTACTCACCACTATTATGGGGAAAACTAACAGGTACACCTACCAAGTACCAGTCACAGAAGATACAATGAACAAGAGGGCACTGTGTGGTGCTAGGGGCTGAGGACACAGAGATGGACAGAACAGACATTGTCCCTGTCCTCACTGAGCACCCAGTATAAGTGAAGGACAGAACTGTGACACATGTAACCACTAAGCCATATGACAAGTGCTCTAGATAGGGGGAGATTAGGAATGATGGAATGTCTCAGGGGACCTGCAGGGTGAGGAGTGGTCAATGAACTGGAGGCACTTATTTTAGTGCCTGCTGTATTTCCAACCCTGTGGGGGAAGGGAAAGAAACAGAAAGCACACTGAAGTCGTTTCTAAACTCACTGAGGGGACAGGACTGGCACTGACCCTCAGAACAGTATAAGTATACAGATGCTGAGTGACTCAAGCCCCCTGACAGGGTGAGGGAAGACAGTGCAAAACTAGTGGTTCAAGTTCACCCTCACCATGCTGGAACAAGGGATCTCAGTGAGAAAAGGTTTCTCCTTGGAAGGTGGATGTGGTGTCAGGTGGCTCTGCCCAAACCCGGCCACTCACATTTTCCTGGATGGCTTGTGCTTTTGCACCTAACTGAGGCTGGGGCAACAGGGAAGGTAACTCCAGTAGATGTTTTTTGGATGAATAATAACAATGAATAAATGATACAAATGATCACTATATATTTGTCTATATTGGCATAGTGACATTTAAACTCAGGGCCTTACACTGGCTAGGCAGGTGCTCTATCACTTGGGACATACCCCCAGCCTTTTTTTTTAACTTTAATTTGTTTCATATAGGGTCTTGCACCTTTGCTGGGGCCATCCTACCTCCCCCTCTGGCACAGCTGGGATTATAGATGTGTGCCACCAAACCATACCAGCAAGATTTTAATAATCTTAGAATCAGGAAATTGGTCAAGTAAACTTCTTTCTAAGATCTTCTCCAAACACTTTTAACTATGACTCAGAAGAATACATTTTCTTTCACTGTCCAGTATACACATAACCACATAACACACACACACACACATGCACACATGCACACAACACACACACACACACACGCACAGACACACTTTTCATATTTATCATGGAAAATAACACTGGTCCTTTGTGACTACGTGTGGTGCATTCTCAGTTTTTTTCCTTTTCTTTTCACTTACCTCCTCTTCTATCTTACTAATAAAAAAACACTGGCTGCAGCTCAAAAGTGATTCCATGCCCCACTAATGGGTCATAAAGGCAGTGTGAGAAGCACTGAAGATGATGCCGGCACACAACCTGATGCCAACCGGCCAACATGTTTTACCACTTACTGGACACAGCCTGGTGCTGCACCCTGGGAGCCCTCAGCTACCAGGGTGCACCGGACCTTCACAGAAATATCACCCTGCAAGCCGCCCTCTTGTCCCTCCTGCCCCAGGCAGGGATGCCTGAATCAGCATACCTCCTGCAAGCTCACCTGCTGATGCAGGAAGTGAGAGGCTAAGGCAGGTTTGAATATTTATCTGAGGCCCTTGATATCTTGGGTTCTACTCCATGGGTGGATGCCCTACCTCTTAAAGGGATCACTACAAAAAGTACCAGATGATCATGGCCCAGACTGGCAAGTAACCCAAGTTCCAGAGTAATGAGGTCCTCTGCTTTGGGAGGATGGAGAGGTACAGCAAAGGAAACCTAAGAGGCAGGCCCTGAATGCCAGGTACAAGAGGTGGGACTAGTTCCCAGCACAGATGTCCTCTTAGCATCTGGACTGTTTGCTACAAGTTAGCAAGATCTGCCTTTTAAAACATTGCTTCACAGATTGATTGAGGCACAAATGAGAACCGCAGTCTGGAACCAAGGCTTCTTGTCCTAGCTTTGCCATTTTCTATGTTTGACCTTGAGCAGCTCACGGAGCCTCTCTGGACCTTAGTTTCCTCCTCTGTGAAATAGAAGTAATAGTAATGACCTTGTCTTTCTCCTGGGGCTGCCGGGGATGGGGGTGGCAGAAGGGAGTGAAATGAGGCAATGTGGATCAAAGCTCAGCAAAAAGTCGATTCTCCACATAACGTCAACTGAGATGAAACCCAGTTTGAGTTACTTTGTGATTTAGTACACGAATAAACAATTTCCCTTGGAATTATTCCTCCTTCTTTTAGAGGGCTATGAAATTTAAATGTGAAAATGTCATTATTCAAAGAAGCTTCCAGAGCTATGTTACAGAGATTTGGGAAATCTGTAATTGATCTATTATGCAAAGATTATATACCAGGGTTTCCTTTTTTCTTTTTGAGAGCTCTATATGGGGTTTACATGCAAACTGAGTCATTCATTTTTTTTGTGTGTAAAAAGATCACCTAGGTGAGTAAGAAGGCCGAGCATCATATATTAGAGTCAGACGCAGGCTCTTTATTGGAGCCAAAGACAGCCATGGTCTGGTGATTAAGACCCAAGTTCAAAGACAGAAAATGGAGGTTCAGCTATGACTTTGCACCTAAAGGAAACAATCTTCCTGGAGAGCAGGTGGCCACAGGCGAGAGTCCACCGTGGGCTTGGCCTGCCTGGAATTCTGTTGCTTTGGGATGTGTTGTGCATTTGACTTAAGGAGTTCATTCGGATTCTCAAAAGGGTCAATTACTGAGTGACACTTTCGAGTGACCACGTTCCCATCCACAGATGCTTTCTCTGCTGTGGGACTGCCCTGGCACCGAGATGGGGTGGAGGGGCCAGCATGGTCATGGTCCCAGCAGAGCTGAGCTGTGATCCTGCTCCTTGCTCAACCTGGACAAAGAGCTTCCCCGGTCTCCAGTCTGCTTCCCCACACCAAAAAAGGGGTGACAATGTCTCGTTCATGGGTTTATTGTGCTGACTTAACAGGAAAGTACACTGAAAGCCTGTGGCCTTCAGGGATCGCCTGGCATAAACCCCATTCCCACAAATGTGCAGTTGTGTTTATTTAATGTCTGGATTCAAACAGTCTTTCGGATCATCTTTCCAGAACCTCGTGCATCTGGAAGGTTTTTGGAGACGGACAACCTTTTGGTCAGGTCACTGAGAGCATAAAATGTGAGAAGCACTGCTCTGGGGGGAGGGGACCCTGGACAAACCACGTGTGGCCTATGTCTCTGGTGGGGGTCAGTAGGGGCGCATTCTCCTCCCCGCCTGCCTCGCTGCCTGGATGCACAACGCACTCTGTCTTCTCTCCATTCAACTACTGGACCAGGGCAGGGATGGTATAAAGAGAAGACAGAAATGGAGAGCCATCAACATTCATTCATTAAACCCTCAGTGACAATGGAGATAATGATGATGAAGGAGACCAGACAACTGTCACTGAGTACTCACTCTGGGCTACACTGTGTCAAGCACTTTACATGTTTAAATTCAGTTATTTGAATCCTCCTGACCATACTATAGAGTAGGAAACTCCATATTTTGGGAGACAGTATAAAGTAACAGTTTAAAACAGTGGCTCTGGGTTCAAATTACCTGTGTTTAAACCTTGAGTATGCAATTTCATTTTTCAATTTAAGCACTATGGCTTGATCTTCTATTGCTGTATATTATTTGTTTATGTCTGCCTGTTTCTGATACTTAATGTAAGCAATCAAAGCTCTACCTGCCTGTGTGGATAAAGAGGTTAGGGAGCGTCTGTGGTGCAGCAGTGAGAAGGAACTAGAATCAGAAGAGTATGGTGTCATATTGGGGAGGGGAGGGCTGACCATGTGAGCGTGGACTCTGTCTTGTCTGTTACTGGCTGCAAGAGAAGTGACTGAGAGTTGCTTACCAAGCTCAATTTGGTCGTCTGTGGCCTAACTCCTGGGACTTAACACGGGGTTCCTGGCCCCCAGGGTGAGCTTTACCAGATGGGCAGGAGGAGATGGTGCAGCAGAGCGACCTTCAAAGAGGCATTGGAGAGGCCCAGGCAGGTGCGGTCTCACCTTGCCACCTTCCAGGTGGGGAGTCAGGCTTGGGCTTGACTTCTCTGAGCTGAGCCTGTTCTCCTTCTGCAGCATTTGCTGCTCTCCCTACCC